AGGGTCTAGGGTTTAGGGTTTGCTTAACTTTTGTCTCCATTGTAGTTCCCTTTATTGGTTTGACCAATAGTAGATTCAGGATTTTATAAGGCATCCCCCAAAAGGAACTACAATGGAGACTATAGGTAGAGCTTAAATTGAAGATTCAGCGTTTAAGGGTAACTTCTGTGTACTACATATGAACAGGTGTAAGGTAGAAGAGTGTGTGTGTGTGTGTGCTTGCATTTTAGACACACACACACACATGTCTGTGCATCTGCATATATACATATATTTATATATATATATATATGTATGTATGTATGTATGTATGTATGTATGTATGTATGTATGTATGTATGTATGTATGTATGTATACATCTTGCTTATATGCTGTTATGTTTTCTCAGGTGTTGGAACGTTTTTCTCTTTCCTTTTGTGAGTGTTTAAAGGTTCCTCTTAAGGGACTCCTTCGTGATTTTGCGGCTAAGGGCTTACGGGTTAGGGGCATCCGGATCCTTGCTGTTTGGGTCTGCGGGGCCCAGGTTCTACCGGGTCTTTCTAAAGGTCCAGATAGGGCGCAGCCCGGTAGAGTTCACGGACTTCCCAGAGACTCCAACATCCCTTAATTGAGGAATATACCTTAAATCATATTAGGGATCCTACCATAATGTAAGGTATATTCCTTGATTCATTAGGGATATTGGAGTCTCTGGGTTGGGGCTTCATGATTTGCTTGGAGGCTCAGGGATTGCAGATTCCCATGCCGCATGCCTAGGGCCTTACGAGAATTCAGGGGTGTGTGCATCCTAAGTCTCCAACAAAACTAGACAGGAAAGAGGCATCCACCGAAACTTTCTCAAGCCCCAAACCCTACAATCCTAACCGGGAGCTTCAGGCTTGCGGGCGTCGGGTGCAATGTGCCGTCGGGCTTAGGGCTCAAGGTTGCAGATGTTTTTGTTCAACATCATGATTTTTCAGCTCAGGTTTTGGCTTTGCGGGGTTCCGGGTTTAACGTCTCTACACAGCTTCTCGGCTTGAGGGTTTACGGCTTCAGAGCTACCGTTTGCGCGTTTCGGCCGGAATCCACAAGAAACTGTCTATGAAGCAACTGGCGAATCTATGCTCTCGTTCAAACCTCCTTCATGAAGGAGGCTACCTCACGGACGAGCTGCCTAGTGCACAACAGCACAAGCATCAAGACACATTCGAGACCCAAGCTGAGACAGCCGTCACGGCTGCTCCGCCATTGTTACTTACCTGCCAGCTTTAGAAGACCTGCTCCACAGGTCGTGTGGTGGTTGTCAACGAAGAAACCCTAGCTCAAACGCCCCGAAAAACGCAGACCCTAAAGCCTTGAAGGCCTGCAAAGCGTGAACCGAACATCCGTGGCCACCCGGCAGCATGGAGGGCAAGAAGGAAAGCAGTGAGTGCCACCGCGGCTCCTATTTAGCGTTTCGCATCTCGGCATTCGGGTTCATCAAGCTCGGAAACCAGCCCTCAACCCATGCACAGCCTTAAGCCAAGCCCTTAAACCCCGAAACCCCAAAACCCTAAAGCCCTAGATCCCAAACCCCTAAAGCCCAAAGCCATGAACCCAAGACATCCCTAGACCCTAGAGCCTCGAAGCTCGAACTCCAAGCCGCCTTAGCCCTGAACCTCTTCGGAGTTTTCTGGTTTTGGCAAAGTATGTTCTTTCGCATTCCGGCTTCAAGCTTTGAGGATTCCAGAGAGTGCTGTAGGCTTTTGAGGGTCTTCGTAGGGCTTCATGGCCTTATCTAGTGGACTGTAAGGGTCTTTGTAGGGCTTAATGGCTTCATCTAGTGGATTTTACTAGGCTTTGTCGGGTTCATGGGGTCTTTGGTGAACATCTTTCAGTGCTTCTGGCAGACATTGTGGAGACTGACAGCAGCAACATAGAGCCGAGCCTCAAAGCCTTAGAACAGCAACCCGAAACCCTTAACTCTCAACCCCTAAACAACCACCCTGAGAACCAAATCCCAAGACTCAACTAAACCAGAAGCCCCAAAATTCCAGTAGGGAGGAGGTCTCGGTCTATAGGGTCGGAGGGCTTGTCGGGATGGTCGGGAACTGCCAAACCCTAAGCCTAGAGTGGTAATGGCTCAGACTTCTATATGGGTAGTTCTCCAAATGAGGGCCCCTTTGTAGGTCCCGAATCTAGTACCACACCCATACAAAAAAAAAAACCTAAAAGGGACCCTCGTTTAGAGGCCCACATCGAACAGAAGACCCACAAAGCCGACAGCGAGCGGTTGGATACCGCGACACGGCGTAGAACACCATCACTTTTTGCAACACCCAGGTCCCAGAACGAAATCCGGTAAGTACAAAAGCCATACGCAATAAAACCCCATGCAAAGGCTATGACATAATCCGAAAACCCCTTTCCAAGGGCCTGCACGTTGGAAAAAACCCTAAAAGCCTCTTCTAAATGCCTTCTTAAACAAAACTTTAAAGCCCTAAACCCTAAACTTTAAAACACCTGAAACCCCTAAAAAACCCTGAAAGCCCTGAAACCCCTAAGCTTTTTAACAAAAACTCCCAAGGCTTCGAACCGACACCCCAAACCCTAAACCCTAAACCCTAGACCCTAAACCCTAAACCCTAAACCCTAAACCCAAAACCCCCCCAAAAAAAGCCCGCGAATCCGAGAACCCCAGGGTTCCTCGAAGGCTTCTTCCACGCAGGCCATGGGGCAACCTGGCTTCATCCATGTCTCCTGACAGGTACTCTAGGGGCCTTTATAGGTAGAATAAGGTTTTGGGGTAGACTGTACTAAGGCCTTTATATAAATTTTAAGAAGACCCCCAATGAAAAAAAAAAAAGTATTGGTAATTTCATTTAGGCGCCTACATCAGGGTCTGCGAGAAATCTCGTATAGAAGCCTGGTTTAATTACCCACATAGGCTTCGGAAAACAAAAACAACACACTGTAATATAACCCTAAACATGTCGAGCAAGCACCGGGTAAGCCCACAAACACACCCTAAAGCCTGCGCATTACCCACTCCACCGCGCCTTATCCCTCAATTGAAAGCCTAAACCTACAAGAAAAAAAAGGAGCTGAACCTTGAAAGTCGCAGCCCTAAGCCCGTCTGTTTGGTTTCGGCTTCAGAGGCTTACGTAGTTTAACGGTTTAGGTTATAGGCTAGGGTTTAGGGCTCAGGGTTTAGGGTTTAACGGTTTTTGCTTTAGGTTCGGGTCGAGATTTGAACGTGGCTCCACGAAGCAGTGGTGTCCGGGCTATCCATCCTTGGCGAATCCCCTCCACTATGGAATCCTGAGCCAATATATTGATGGAGACACGTCGTCTCTCCCGTACACTGTAGCTGATGCAGAACAGGTATGGTGTTACGTCTCAAAGGGCACATTCGCCTGCCTAAACATGCAATAGTCGTGACTTTCATCTGCTTGACCTGAAGGTAGCTTGCCCCACCGCAGGAGCAGTGCCCGCAGCCTATGCAGCTCGGCGTACGATAGTGGACGTAGAACATCCGAAGCGATGCACATGAACGTCTAGTCGGGATTGGAATCGGTATCCAATATAAAGTCCAACACTTTGCCGCCGGCATCCGATGTACCCCGCCGAAACTGCATCCGAATGGCATGTGATGCTACGCTCTCGGTCCTAGGGTTTAGGGACTACCCTTTTTTTGCCACAGGCCTCGTTGTCCAGCAGCCCGGTCTAGCCAAACACACACTCCCCCAGGGACCCGAAACCCTGAACCCTAAAGCACAGCCGGCAGTCTTCAGGTCTAACTTTCCGACCCATGAATCCCGAAAGACTCAACACCCTCAGTGCTGCCTACTACAGGAGTCAGAAAACTTCCCTTTCATACTCCCTTGCAGTCCCCATGTTCCCTATGTGTGCTGCAACAGATCCCCAAACCCTTTTCCATCGATTTCGGCGGCTATATAACCTCATCTCATACTGTGATCCAGGGCCGCCAAGCCTGAACTCTAGTTCAAGTCCTCCCAAGCCTTGTTGCTAGTCCAAAGCCTAGCCGGGCCACGACCTGCAATCATCCCTCGTACGGCCTAACCCCGCGAAACCCTACAAAGGTGCCTGTATTTCCAAGCTGGCCAGATATCCTGCACATGGGTTTCTCTCTGAGTTAGGATTCCTTGTTGAAGGGTCCTTACAACGGGCGCAAGTTCAATGACCTACCGACACGAGTCGTTTGGTGCAGGCTTTAGAGTGATTAGAGTGTGAGGCTTTAGGGCTTATGGGGCTTATGGGTCTCAGGCGTAGGTGGTGGTGGAACCACGCTACACCTGTGACACGATCCAGAACCCTGAAACCCGTCAATAATATAGGGGCGTCAATACTTAGAATAGGGTTTTGGGGTACATTCTACGAAGGAACCCCCCAAAAAAAATAGTAGTGGTAACTATTTAGGCCCCTATATTACCCACACCCTCGCCCTCCAAGATCTCCTCCGGCAGGTCTTCGGTTTTCGTAGTCTACGGTTCCAGCTTCCGGTGCGATGGAAGCCGCAAACCTCTGACAGATCCTGCCTTTATGCAACAGGCCTTCCAGAACCCCAAACCCTTGGAACCCCTGTTTGAAGCAGGGCACTACAGCTGTGCCTGCCCCTCAGACCCGGAGCTTGAAGAAAGCAGCCACATGTGACCCTGAGCCTCCGACTCTCTCCAAGGTGCTACCCGAAAAGTCACGACGACCCCATACATGTCCAGTATCATGGGGAACTCAAGGTGACTCAAGGTTAGCCTTAGGGGCTACATTAGGGTTGAGGGTTTAGGGATTGTGAGGATTATACTACCGCAAGCGGGCTAAAGGTTGCCTACTCTACTACTAGGACACGAAGCCGGCATCTGAAACCAACAAAAGCCTCAAGTGGTCCTTGAATGCAAGTGTTCGGGAAGACGTAGTAGATCACAAGCTCATCCCAACATCGCCAGCATTCCTCCATTGAGGGCTTCTTATTTCCTTTTTCCCACCTGCTCAGTTTGGGGCTTTTAGGGGTATGGGTGTCGGTGCCAGCGGCTATTCTAGGGTTTAGGGTTCCGGTGTTTAGGATTTAGAGCTCAGCTCAATTTCAACTTTTGTGTCAAATGTTAGGTTGTTGGCTCTCGCGTCGCAGGACGTAGTGCTACCACAGGTTCCAAACGAGCCATCCGCTTTCAAGTTTAAGGCATCAAGCTTTGCAAAATGCCAGCAGTGGCGCATTGGCATAGGGCTTCGGGGTATCTTCAAGGATAGTTGTAATAAGGAGCATTCAGGGCTCTCTTTACTAACCCTTATAGTATCCCGCATAAACGCCTTTCAGTGTCCAGGCTTCCGTATTACTAATGCTCCCAGGGCATTGAGAAACACAAAGGCAATGGGGGGAGGCCTTGGAAGCCCTCTTGAAACTTTAATACAACGGCCTTCATAGTTAGCATAATTCAAGTTTCGGGGTATGTTGACCTTTATGAATCTGGGGACAATAAGGGGAGATTCGTCGTAGTCTTCCGCGCCCATATAGTCTGCCTCTACTTCCAGTCCCATTCTCAAGCGCCTAATACAGTCGCAAGCCCTCAGCCTGATAACCCCAAATCTCAGTCTTACACCTATACCGCCTATACCCTAATTCCTCGGTTGAACCCTGGATGCAGCACCTTAAACCTAAACCCTAAAGCAGCACACGGCCCTTTCGCCAATGCCAATGCAGATCAGCTTCATGTCGCCTGCAAGGCAGGGAGTCTTTCAGTCTTCAAGCTAGCGTCGAAAGGCACTGGAGAGGCTTCTATGAGGCGACAAGCGGTTCCAGGGCTTGGAGACTTGTTCTTGCAATTTTGCTCTTGATAGCCACTGCAACACTCAAAAACTCAAAATCTAAAGCCCTTGACTAGAGTCGCCAGTCTCAAAAGACTGCGGTTCTGGGGTTGAATTTGGGTTCCTGCACAGAGAAACGCAGTCTACATGTCTTCAAGCTCTTGTGTCTCAGACCCTCAAAACCCTCGACTCGAATGGGGGTCCAAAACCCTACGTATTGAAACCCAAACTCCCAAACACCCAACGCCTCGCCTACTATAGGGGCCTTAATAATCACCTATGATATGCTAGTGTTTCCTTTATTATAACTTTACTTTAAGATACCCCAGAACTCTATTCTAATTATTAAGGCCCCTACATTAAATCCCGTGCCATGAACCCTCAAGCCCTAAACACCTAAACCCGAATAACCCGAAACCGTAAACCCTCAACCCCACTCCCACCCGCAATGAGGCTTCGGATACTTTCAACCCTAAACCCTAAACCCCTAAACCCAAAACCCCTAAAACCCTAACCCCTAAACCCCTAAACCCCTAAAACCCTAAACCCTAAACCCAAAACCCCTAAAACCCCAAAACCCCTAAAACCCTAAACCCCTAAAACCCCCAAACCCCTGAAAACCCCCCAAAAACGTTCAGGGGTCCTTGTGCCAGGCCTCAGGAGCAAGAAGTTGCCAGCAGCGGTGATATGCTGCAGCTCGCGGAAGGCGCGCATGATGGAGGAGGAGCCTGGCTCAGGGGGTTTAGGGTTTAGGGGTTTAGGGGTTTAGGGGTTTAGGGTTTCAGCACTCACAACTGGGACAAGCCTGGCGAGGTTCCAATTTTTTGACATCGACGATAGCACATTGGCCAGGGCAGGCATATTCACCACGCCCAAACTCTCTCTCTAATTAAATCCCAACACTACTCATCCATCACATGACCTCCTTCTACACTCCACGATCCCAACTTTGTCATCCCAATCTTTCACTTCCAATGCGCAGCTCCATTGCTGAAGCATGTACATGCGGCACGAGAGCATGAAACATGACACACCTCAGCATACAAGGGTTTAGGGTCTTAGGGCTCTTTTTATGGGGTGTTTTTAGGGTTCTGGCTCTGGGCTTTGTGGTTTTTGTAAGGTTTAGGGTCCTGGCTCAGGGTCTTAGGGCTCTTTTGTTTTCTGTAGGTTTTAGGGTTCTGGCTCAGGGTTGCGGGCTTTTTTGGGGCTTCGGGTTCTTCTGGCTGAGGGCTTTGGTTTGGGGCGTTTTTGGGTTTAGGGGTTAGGGTGGCGGGAGGATGAGGCTTGCTAAGGCCCTAAGCGCGAGGCCCTGTGCTTGAAACCCCCTAGACCTTCACAACTCCTGGATAAGGAATCGGAGCTTCACTCATTTTCTATTGTTTGATTATTGATATTGCAAGCGCTATCACGATTATTGTCACTAGGTGTCACTATGATTCAGGTTACGATGATGATGAACTCCCAAATCTACTACGGCACCCTTGCCAAAAAAAGTGACCCTAAAAGGTACCCTGACTTAGAGAACTGCCCATATAGCACCCCTTATACCTTGTCGATCCCTTTAAGGACCCCGAAAAGGGACCCTAACTAAGAGAACTACCCATTTGTATTCCTAGTGTTGTTATTGTTGGGTTCGGCTTTGGGGGTCTTTGGGGGCGCGGGGGCCGGTCCGGTGGTTCGTTTAGAAATCTTAGGGCTGTAGGGTTTAGTGTTAAAGGTTTTAAGGTTTTGGGGACCTATGAAAATTAGGCTTAGTGTTTGTAGGGCTTGGGCCGTTTAGGACTATCTTTTTCGATTTCGGCCTTAGGGTCATGAGATCCTAAATAAATCCTAAACCCGTTTGGGCTCAGAGAAGCACAGGAGGATCCTTGGGCCGAGCACCCTGTTGAGGTGCACACTGCCCCAACGAAGTAAGAACGACCCCTAAACCCTAAACCCCTAAACCCTAAACCCTAAACCCTAAACCCTAAACCGACTATGTGTAAGTCGCACTACTCACTGTCCACGGCTCCTACAGCCCCGGACACTCCGAAGCCCCTGAAACAAGGAATCAACCTGCAATCACAATAAGCGTCTGGTATAATTGTAGGTGTCACTTGAAGCTGGCTCCGCACGTGGGATGCCTTAAGATTTGCGGGTTCCAGGGAAAGCGGGAACTAATGTAGGGGCCTTAATAATTAAAATAGGGCTTTGGGGTCCGTGATTATATAATTGCAATAAGGAGCCCCCAAAATAGTACAGGTAATTATTGAAGCCCCTATCTTAGAAATGCGTCAGGACAGGCAGGGGTAGTCCTGGGTGTGCCTCCATACTCGATGCTGTACAGAGCATCCTCCTCGTTCACGCGGTCGGTTCCATTCCTGACTAGATAAAGGGATTTTCTACCGTTGTAGAAGAAACCCAACATTTTTCAACATTTTTAAATATCAATTTAAAATTTGATGGTTTCGATGGGCTTTAACTAGAGGGTGTTTCAAGGGCTTACAGGGTTTTGTGTGTAAGGGCCTTGGTCGTTTCAACATTTTTTGGTGTATATTCGAGAATATGTGTCGGGGTTTAGGGCTTGCGGGTTTCAGCACTCACTCTCGGACAAGCCTAGGCGAGGTTCCTGGCTTCCGGGTTTAGGGTTTAGGTAAGCAGTACCGGAAACGGCTCACAGAACACATCGCTCGTTTGCAAGACTGTTACGCCAAGTTGTATTAAGATTCCCTTTGCTTTCAGCTCGTCTCTCGCCGGATGTTTTCGACAGCCCTACGGATTAAAGGGTCTTTGCTGGATTCTGAACCGCAGGTGTTGGAAAGGATTTTTAAGACTTCTGAAGGGGCTTACTGTAATACCTACACCTTCAAAATGTCTGAAGCCAACGACCAGCTTAAAGGTTGGCATCTACCTAAACTCCAACACCCAAGCGCCAAAAGCCCAAAACATCCGCAAGCGCAAAACCGTACAGCCAGATCCCCAAGGGGTTCAAACGTTACGAGTTTTCGCCCCTGAATCCTTCACCCAGAACCTTAAAACCTATGTTTTCGTCCGGCGTCTGCTGTGAATGGAGTGCTAAGATCTGCAGCGCCTTTCTCATCGCCTCGCCTCCTGATGCGGATGTCGGAAGAAGGTTCTAGGTTTAAGGCGATTAGGTTTAGGATGTAGTAATGTACTGACACTGGCTTCATGTGTATATCCTCGCTACTCCAACTACTACTGCGACTGCTGACAACTCTTTCATGCTACTGCCACAACATCACAGAAACAACGACTGCAACTGCTGCTATTGCAGTTGCTACTAACGGCCACTCCTCCTCCTCCTCCTCCTCCTACTACTACTACTACTACTACTACTAGTACTAATACTACTGCTACTACTACTACTACTACTACTACTACTACTGCCACTACTGCCACTGCTGCTACTACTACTACTACTACTACTACTACTACTACTACTAATACTACTACTACTACTACTACTACTACTACTGCTGCTACTACTAATACTACTACTACTACGACGACGACGACG